CGATGCTGGCACTGTCAGCATCGCAGCCAATACCATGGCAAGAATCTAATCCAGCTAGCAATCCAGTAAGAAAACAAGCATCGTATGCTGCTGGCTTTAATCTCAATTATTTTTCACTTTAAAACGAAAGAATATTGAGGTCACGAATTAAAATGAACTGCTAGTAGATTACGCGAAATAATTAACTTTATATTTTTATTAGAAAACAACAATCGAATAATTATTACCGATGTTTGGTCTTTTACAGCTGTTCTACATGATACCTTGAGTGTACTTTTTGAACAAAAATTGGGCGGTCTCTGTTACGTAACTTCTTATGGCGCTCTAAATTTGATTTTATTATTTGGGCGTACTTACAAACCGGACATATGACGTCCGGTTTGACTTGTCAACCGGACACCGGACAAGACTCCTGAAAACCTGACAGTCCGGGTCAAAAGCGGACGGTTGGCAACTCTAGGTCCAGCGCCGTTTATAGGAAATTGTAGCAAACGTCAACAACAACAAAAGGCACCGGTTTTTTAAATCACGCGATAAACGCACTTCCGATCGAGTTGCATATCCCCGGATATCAATTTTGTGCCCAGGTATGCAATTAGGTTAGCGATTGGCTAGAGGCTATCAAGGCATTAATCCGTTGGACGCGACGTGTCGCGAACACGACATAGCTTATTCGCAGAGCAAAGATCTCACGAAACGACACGTAGCTGACCAAATAATCTCTGAGGAGGCGCGAAAACGGATTATCGCGAAAGATTCGACTCTTGGAGAGAGAACTGCTGCCACAGCTGTTTGGATGGCTATGAAAGCCAAAACGAAAATTGGTATGGGTTTGAAAACGACGAAGAAGAAGAAAAAGCCGATGAAGAAGCGAATACTCCCGATAACAAAACACTTTGATATCTTATCTATTCTACCGCTGTTGAGAGTCTTCAGCTTGTTGGTCAGCGGCGCGGCAGGAGTCGCAAAAGCTATAAACGATAATAAAGCCGCGCAACGTCAGTTGGAGGAACTGAAACGTCATAACCACGTCATGAAAGGTCATGGAGTTTACCTCGCTCCATACAAGCATGGACGAGGAGTCACAACGGAAAAAATAAAGATTAAAAAAACGTTAAACAGTAGCTAAAAATGCCGAAGGGTATAACTACCAACGCACAACTGCAATTATTGGCAAAACGTATGTGTATTCCATATTTTGGGGTGATCCCGATTGACCACGTCTCGATTGGACACCACCAATCACAGCGACCGGTGCTTAGGAGCTTTGTAGTCTCAAGCGCTGTGAGTGTCTCGTGTCCAATTGAGCCGTGTCCAACTGGGCGCCACCCCATATTTCACAGGCATTTTTATGCGTACTACCCTACCAATAGGTATCAAAACGAGAGAGGTATCGTAAATTTGGATAATGCTGATGGACCAGGTACTCATTGGGTAGCGTACGCGAAGCGGGGAGATCATGCTGTTTACTTTGATAGTTTCGGCAATCTTCGACCCGATGGTCCTTCGATAAGAAATTGATGCGATATTTGGATGTAACAAAAATCGAGTATAATTGCACCCCTTATCAACGTTACGATCAAAGTAACTGTGGACAACTGTGTCTACAGTTTTTACATATACGGTTGACGATCAATTTAAGAATTGACATTACACTATTTCAACTCAGTATTCATTATGTATCAACTCACCATGTCACTGACATTTACGCTCACCGGTAAGAGTAGCATCATTGCGGCCTGCTACTTTCCAGACGTAGATTTTAGCGATGGCGATTACGAGCTCGGTCTGACGGACTTTGAAACCTACCATACGATATCTAATGTAAATTCATCGAATAAGTTTTACTTTGACGGAGATGACAAAGAAATTGTCATTCCCAAAGGATCGTACGAAATACATGACATAAATAAGTATCTAAAACGTGCAATTCTACAATTTCATCCTAATGATGTTGCGAGAGAGAAAACGCATCGCAAAGAAAATGAACAGTACCCATTGACTATTCGTGCCAATAACAATACAATGAAGAGTGAGATAAAATGCGCTTATCGAGTAAATTTCATCAAACCTCACAATATTGGATCACTGTTGGGATTTTCATCGAATCGCGTGCTGGAGCCACAACAGTGGCACGAATCAGACGTATCAATAAATATCATCAACGTAAATATCAGTGATATTGAATGCAACGTTACCACAGGCGCATACAGCAATGATAAGTTCGTGCACACGATACATGAATTTTCGCCGAGCGTGTCACCAGGATATAAGATATCGGAAAGACCGACACAGATCATTTACCTTCCAATCATCGTACGGAGAGTTATAGATCTGACGGTTCGCGTTGTGGATCAAGACGGACGATTATTCGATTTTCGTGGAGAAGAAATCACCGTTAACTGCATATACGAAGACCACAACGATAAAGTGATACGACAACGATAACGTGAGATGCTTGTTCTGAACGAGCAGGTGAAATACTAGAGACATAATTTTTGTCAGAGGGACAACGATTAAAAATATTTGATCGTTCAGTAGAAGGAAGCTTACTGTGTCAAACGTTAAATTTTTATGATCATTGGGCTTTGTTGTACGAAATATCTGAGATGGTTGATATCTTAAATATTAGAGATGAGCCGATCTTTGACGATCGTATCGTCAAGTTCGAATTTCACACGTACAATTCGTCCGTAAACACCATGTTTGGAAATAGCGACGAGATAAGGATACCCGTAAAACAGCAGGATTTATACACGCTATCGTGTGAAAGTGTTCTCTACATTGAAAGAAGATTGACATCAAAGGAAAAAGATAAAAAAAAAACAACCAACAATTGGAAGTAATTGCGTGACGTTCATGTTTTACGAAATTCGATATGAACTCAATGGTGCAGAGATTGATCGTAATAGAAATATTGGAATAACCAGTACTCTAAAGAGCTATGCATCGCTTTCAAGTGACAATATAATGATTATGTATAATGCTGGACTTATTCCGTTTGAGTATAATGCGAAAAGTTTAATGACAACTGATGGATATTTTAATTTTTGCGTGCCGCTCAGCATATTGTTTGGCTTTTGCGAGGATTATAAATGTGTGGTAATTAACGCTCGTCACGAATTAATTTTGATACCAGCGCGCAACGAGAACAATTGCATTGTGGGGGATTCAGCGACTGAACCGACGCTTGAATTATTCAAAATACAATGGCGAATGCCTCGTTATGTTGAACGAAGTCAATAAACTATCCATGCTGCGTACCTTGGAAAGCGGACGATATCTAAGTATGAGTTTCCGTCCGTGGGATTTGTATGAGTATCCCTTATTGCAAAACACGACAAAGCATTTGTGGGCTATCAAGACTGCGAATCAGCTGGAAAAACCTAGATACGTTCTCTTTGCTCAGCAAGCTGCTAAAAAAACCGTCATGGAAGCAACTTACTTCGATCATTGTAAATTAACCAACATGAAACTTTATCTAAACTCTGAATTTTATCCGTACGATGATCTGAATCTAAATTTTGACAAATACAAAACCGCTGTCGTATATGACATGTATGTGCATTTCTGTACGTCTTATTACCAAATTCCCCGGGAATATCGTGAAACATTATTGAACACGAAAAACTTTATTCACGGTTATACTCACGTTATCATTGACTGTTCGCGACAAAACAAATCCATCAAGAGCGGTACCTTGGATGTGCGATTAGAATTTGAATTCAAGCAGAATGTACTCGCGAATACTACAGCCTATTGTCTCATCATACACGACCACGTGATCGAATAGTCCAATGACCAACGTAGTACGCAAGATTACGTAAATTATCATTGCTGAAAGAAAAAAATGCCCCCCTCTTTTCAATACAAGAGATAAAAGCCAAGATCCTTTGCGATCGAGCACAGTCCAGTGATGCACATTTGGCTCCCCGGCAACACGAAAACCAGCCCCAACACTTGTACCCCCACCAAGCAGACACCTACGTCACCTACCAGCATCGAGTCGGCCGTCTTCGCCGCGAGAGCGAGCGAGACAGCGAGAGACAGCGCCCGTCCTTCTCGCTCTACAAGCGAGTATTAGAGCGAAAAGAACGGCCGCTTTCTCTCGCTATCTCGCATCTTCTAGTATAGTAGTCGCTTGTTATAAGCGACCGAAAACCGAAAATGTATTTTTTCGGC